ATATATATATATATATATATATATATATATATATATATATATATATACATAAATAGAATAAAGGAACACATACCAACATATTAACCCTTTTATGTGTATATGTCTTTATGTTGCTTTTCACAGCATCCCCAACTGTTCGAATAGTGCACTCAGGTCAGCCCTGTAACTTGGAAGAGGACCAATACAGTGAGAGGGTTTACTCCATCAGAGAAGGAGAGACTATGGAGCTCCAGTGTCTGGTGACTGGACACCCTCGACCACAGGTAATACTGTCTCCATACTATGGATACAATGGAACACTGGGTGTTTATTGTATCTGTATATGTACATATGTAGTTTAGTATTCATTTGCACATTAGTGTTGTAATAGAGAGGTTAACAGCTAGCATCACAGAGAGAGCATTAAATATGTTCACTAGAAAACATGAATTAAGTAACTGATATAAATCAGCCAACTCAAGCACAGTAATCGCAACCTTTCTAGATTAATGTTGGTTTTAATGAGTTGATTTGTATATGATTTGCAATGATTACAATATCAACAATAGTATCAATATTCAAATACCAGATTATCACTAACATGTGAAATTACATGTTCATTTTGAACACTATCAATATTTAACATCCTGTATCAAGCAACACATTTTACCACTAAACCTTTTAAAGCCACAGATTTCAATTTGATTTTGAACTTTGGTTCAGTTTAGTACCATGGACCCTGTTGTGGAATGGCTCATATTGTTTTATTGAAGGAGACAGTTCTTTTGTGTTTTGGGTGAAACTTGAGGTTTGTTATCTAAAAAAGGGTGACTAAAGTCTAAGTAGACTACGAAGTAAAAAGTGACTATCGAAAAACATAATCATTTTGCACCACCACCAAATCAAACAAACTGATGTTCACAGTCCCTGAAATAAATTGACATGATAAACCCATACCTCCTGGGCAGATTCGATGGACTAAGACAGCGGGAGGAGCCTCAGACTGTCGAGACAACTCCTCGCTGCACAAAGAAACTCTGAGGATTGAGACAATCAGCCGTCACCAGGGGGGGCGTTACTATTGCAAGGCTGAAAATGGAGTGGGATCCCCAGCCATCCGCTCAATGCGAGTTGATGTCTACTGTAAGAACACACTTCACACACAAACACATTTTGCAAGATAATGGTTGAACCTTTTTTTTTTTTTTTTACTGACCTATGTCGTATTGTTCAACAGAACACTATGGAAAAAGAGATATAGACTCATTAAGTCTCCCTCAGGCAAATGTGTTCTGCATTGCATGGTTCCCAGATTTCAATTCTGCTACCATGATGCTAAAAGTATCATGAAAAAAAAAGACAAACCGAAGGACTTTGGTGGCGACAGATCATCACCATTCCTGTCACATCATATAAAGGCAACTAACCTGGGCTTCCACCTCCATTGCTTCACACATCCTAATCTCCACAAACCTCAGTGCTTGTGAACCACAGCCAACAAAACATTAAGGCGCCATATAACCCATTCCAAGTCAGCTTTCAGTTACTCCCTCCAGCTCTGCTTCAGCCTTGCCAAAATCAACTTTGCAAGTCACAGGTAATTCATCTATTCCCATTTCATAGCATCCCCACACCTAAGATCGCCTGTATGAGCAATTCAAATATATAAGTTCTCCGTGGACATCTGAAGTTAGTGAGCTCCAGTTAGCTTAACCTGTATGCAAGAACATATACAACAGCCACGCTGGCTCTACAGGACAACTATGGCCAACCTCACCAGCTAGTCCAAAGATAACTAGGGGCCATCCTGAACACTTGGTCTACGTAGCATGACTCTGAATGGATAGCATCACCTGTGTTACCACAAGCCTTTGTGTACTTGATTGTCAAGTTATCAATACAACTATCTATCTAGGCATTGTGGTTGTCAACTACTGCCGGAGACGCACAACAACCAGTTGCATCATTTCTGGTCCATAACATCAATGATGTATAACACACACATTTTGTGTCCATATCTGTTACAATCCAATTCTTGATCCAAACTTGTTTGGCTACAATGTACAACAGATAGGGACAACGAACCTTTGATCGACTAAACGGCTTATAAATCTTGGCCTAGACTGTAGGACAACACACAATTCTGAACAAACCACTGCCAGGTGTCTGAATTTGTCCGTTTGTATGCGCTCTTTGTGGGTATCCTTGTTGTTTACTTCTGAGAGCGGTTACGAGGCATTATGGCTTTGATGTCTAGGTTTCCAAATCTATTAGCCCACATGAGTAGCATGGTACAGGAATTGTGAGTAATGCCATCAGCTCAAAAGGACTGATCTGCCAGCCGTGATTGGTTTCTACAGCCCTCTAGGACTTTACGGTTTCTGATGGTCAACAACATGCTGATATCCAACACTGAATGCTTTGAAGGTGACTCATGATTTTGCGTCTTGCGAATACTGTTGGCCATCCAAATCTATTGAATACTGTACGTAGAGTTTCATGAGCAGAAAAGTCTCAAACTTTAGCACAATTTTTTTTGCAGAGTGTTGATATGTGTTGTGTGTTCTTTCTCATCTGATGTGTCCTCTGTGTCTGAACTGTCCTGCTCAATTACATACCTGACAACTCCTTCCCTGGTGTGTCTTGGAGGGAAGGATTTTCTGGTGCGAGAGCAGTTGCAGTCTCATCGCTTAAGGAATCGGCAGCAACGTTTTTTTATTCTGAAATAAGATGTCCACATTTCCACCATCAGATTCACAGTCCAACATTACTCTGTAGAATTGTTAAAGCCCCCTGAGCACTAATCATTCTTTGTCGCCTTGGTTGTGATACTGTGAAGTCTGGGTCTGCATGCCAGGCATTCTCTATTTATGATTGTTTCTCACCCAACATTCCCACCTTTTTGTGACACCCCCTGCCTTCATTGAATCTAAAATGTATGATACCCATTGAATCTTACAAAAGGGGCTATCAGCTATAATCAAACCCATGTTTTCAACTAAGAGGCTATTTCTCAGGTAGCACAATTTGCCTCATGCCAGTAGGGGTTTTTCTTCCAAATGGTTCTGAACATTATACTGTAATATTGTCAAATATTTTATTTTATGGACAGTGATTCTTACAGACAGGGATGCTGGCCTGCAGAATATCCAGTGTTGGCAGAGATACAACTTAATAGTTAGGCTTCTTTACACAACAATGGGAGACGGTCAGTGGTATGTTACACCTATTCACATATTTGGGAGGGGGTTTCATTGTAGACTAAAGTCTGCCGTTTTGCACATCTAGTGTCATCTTGCTTCCATGTCTCAGTGAGGAACATAAAGTACAAAGTATCTCTTCATCAGATGACAGGAGAGCTGACTGCAGGTGTCTTGAATCTCTCTACAGTCAAGAAGGTAGCCTACACCGCCTTAGCTTCAAAACAGTGATTTGGATGGTTTTTCAAACCCGCTTAAGCACAACCTGTGAAAGACTAGGCTTTCCCTTGAAAGTCTTTCTCTACGGCCTTTGGGAATTCATATAAAACGTTTTACACAGTACCCACCACCTTTCTTCCTCACCTTAATGGCTGCCTGACCTTCAAGTTACCACAACATACACTAACATCCTTAAAGAACCTTATGCTTTCAAAATTGTGTATGTAATCCATGACTTGTACAGTCCAAAAACAAAACACCTCAAATTTAGATCTTCAGGTCACTCTATCACTGCCAACATTGGCATTGATGCCCCCCTCAACAACAATGGAATCCCCAAGTGACAACCACTCCAGGACACCACTCAGATGTTTGCTGCATAGAGTCACACTGCATTAAAACAACCTCCTATTCAACAAACTCCAATATATCAGGTCTTCTGGATTTTTTGGGAAATTTGTCTTTGCTTTTTATTTAGGTTTCTTTTCATTTATTTAGTCTTTTATAGCAGGATGGTTTGTTTTTTTAGTTTGTTTTTCGCCAGTCTTGTTCAAAGTCATTTTTGTTTTCAGGGTTCCTCAGTTTGTATGAATGTAGCCATTAACTGTTATTTCCATGGTGACTAATGCTGTATATATAGTCATTAATCTTACTGCTTTGCTGTTTGGCATTGTTGTTTATATTAGCACCCACAGTTTTTCCTCAGTGTCTCACCAGTCTGGTCATCACTACTACCTTTACCCCTGCCTACCCTACATTTAACGCCACAGTTTTTCTCAGTCTTTGTCAGCTCTTCACTGTTGTCACCACTATCTTATCCCTGGTTGGTTTTCTCTGTAGTGCATTGTTCTCAGTCATTGTTTGTTTTCGTCACTTTCTATGTTTTTGTTTCTTTACTGGCTGTGCTTTTTGTTTTGTTTTGGCAATAGTTTAGTAATGACTTCCGCTCCATCCGCTATTGTCATCTTTGGATGCAATTTGGTCCTTTTCCTGCTAAACCCATCGCATACCATGACACGATATGCTTTGCCAGGGGCTTGCGAACATCGCCGCACTCGCCCAGTATCTTTCTTCATTAGCAGTGAGAGTCTAGACCCCCCTCCAAGGTTTAGTTCTAGAGCTGAAGTTGTGTCTAAAAGTGAATGCAAATATATTTAGTTGGTCGTTGGACTAGCTCATTCTCTTTCAGCCAATTTACAATGAATGGGATGGGCCTTCAAATTTCCATGCTGGGAGTGGTGAGGCCTGCGTGGAGGTGAATTCATACTTTTTTTAAGGACTTGACCTTACCAAGCCCTAGGACGCAAACTTCACAGAAATGGAATTAATTTAATTTATTCAATGGAATTTTCCGTTTATTGGATAAAAGTACATTTCGCTTAATGAGGTCGAGTAAATTGATATTCAACTGAACTGAATGATACATCTAAAATTTTATGACATGTTTGTTCATTTTGAAAACATGTTGTAAATGGGCCATATGCTAAAATCTTTCTGGTATTAATCCATTTACATAGATAAACGTTGCACGTTTATCTCCCACGTTGCACAATCGTTACACAAAACTGGCTCTGTGATATGTGTATAATATTTATCTTTCTTGGGCCGATTTCATTCTCCTTCTAACTAATAGTTCATTTGAATATCATTTATTTTAAGATTATCATTTATCTTATTAGAAACTGAGAAATATTTGGTCTTGCAAAATAATAGAATCCTTTTTTCCTAAGTTTCCTGTTTCTCTTCGTTTCATAGACTTGGATGACCCAGTAATAACAGTTCATCAGAGCATCGACGAAGCTAAAGAACAGTTCTACTTTGAGAGGACAGTATTCCTTCGTTGCATTGCAAACTCCAACCCATCTGCTCACTACACCTGGACAAGAGGCAGGGAGGTTTTGTCACAGGGATCTGACTCAGGGGTGGAGATATACAAGCCATTTTTCACACAGGTGAGTGTAAGAGAGGTTACATGGTTGTGTTCATGTCTATTGAATGATACATTTAAAAGTTAACTAAGAAGAAAATTACTTTAAAGACAACATAAAGTCAAGCTAAATTGATATTTCTCAATCACTTGCCGTGACTCCTATCAGCACAAAAATGACTTGTTTATTGTTAGTTTGGCTTGAACATATTTTTGGGAGCAAGGCAGTGAGTATGTAGCTGCCAAGCTATGAAAAAATGTGGCTATAAAACTGCTAAAGTAGCTCATTCAAATCACTCTCCCATGTCAGCTTTCTTTGTGTGCGTGTCTGTGCACTCCCCCAGCAGAAAGCTGCGATATAAAATCTCACTTCCACTCTGGCAATTTGGTATCTTCCCTGCTGGGTTGGGTGGAGGTGTTGATGTATTTAATTTTGGTTTGGAACTTTGGTGACGGTCTGAATATATTCTTCGTTTATCTGTTGTACTGTTTTGAGAGAATACTCACGCAGCCTTCAATCGAGCTGGTGTCACGGGTCACCTTTGTCCTCTGATGTAAACTTAAATAAATTTTGACGTCTGAACTTTTACCTTTTTGAAATTATTCAAATTAAAGAGAGGAATTTTTAGGAAAAGGTAGGACATGTCTGGACAGTTTCTGTTCGGAAGGGCGATTTTATCAGTGCATGTGTTGTTCAATTCAATTAAATTCAATTTTATTTATATAGCGCCACATCACAACAACAGTTGTCTCACAGCGCTTTCCAAACAGAGCAGGTCAGACCCTACTCTGAATTTAATTACAGAAACCCAACAATTCCCACCATGAGCAAGCACTAGGCGACACAGGCAAGGAAAAACTTCCTTTTAACAGGCAAAAACTTCAAGCAGAACCATGGCTCAGGGTTGGCGGCCATCTGCCTCGGCCGCGTTGTGTGTTTGATGTATAACTAAGACATAGACAAAGAAGAAGAGATCCTTTTCAGCCCCATAGAAAAGAATCTCAGAGGCAGTAATTTTTAGACAACCCTAACCTATATCCCTAAGATACTTAAATGTTGACAGCTTTCCCCTAAAACTATTATTTTCATACTTTCACAGGACACTCTTGTCAGAAAACTATTGTGCTACCACAACAGGCGCACAGTTAAAATACCCCCTCGAACATCACGTGTCCTGACTTTTCCCTAACATATCCTCACAGAAACTCACTTGTTCAAAATTGAATGATTAGTAACAGTTGATTTAAGGGTATAGCATTATTCTCTGTCATGTTGTGAAGTATTGTTTGTAGATAGGAAAAGAATTAGCCGCTCATTGTATCTAGGGAGCAAAAGACTGTTTGTTATATTAATCCTTTACATCTACACTTTAAAAATAAGTTGGTCATTTTTTTCTTTGAATTTTTTTCTTAATTTATTTAGAGCAATAACAACCAGAATAAATGCTTTTTTCACTAATTTTAGGGGTAAAAAGTGGGAAATTTTTAGTTAGAAAATATCATATCTCAGTCTAAATTGAGGCATCACATACCTAAATTTAAGATTAGAGCTAATTTAAGTAAGTACACTATAATCAGTGAAGAATGCACTCTACATAACGATTAAGTGGGATGTTAAAAGGTTAAAAACAGACTTTTTGCTTAGGCTTACCTGGCTCATACAGAAAGCAAAATTACCATCTGTATACAAAACACTTGTTTGATAAATGCCAAACATATTCCTTACTCCTTAAAAAAAAATTATCATAGATTGCTACTGCATGCTTTTGAAGAGATTACTGTGATCCCTCAACCCTACATTTAACCTGAATTAACCTGTATGTATATTTATTACTTTAATGAAAAATTGTTCAAAACATGTACTTGGGGTTTGAAAAAAAGGGATTTCATGCAGCTGGGCAGGAACAAGTCAGTAGGATGAAGTGTCACATGTCATTTGTCAGTGCCTGTGCTTGTCTGCCACCATTGTCATTGTAAACCAAAAAACATAAGAGGCTGTTTTGATGTTTGACATTTAGTCATAAAGTAATTTAGCCTTGAAAACAGCCAAAAGTAAGTGTGGCAGCCTGACCAAAAAAAAAACTAAGATAAATAAAAATACCAACAAAAAAAACGTCTAGCACAAAAGAATAACTAGCAAGTCAATCATTGGTGTAAGATAAGTGGAATTTACTGTATTTCTTGAATTTCTTGGTAATTAATTTAAGTGTTTTCAGCAATATACCAAACAAAAAATATATATATATAATCCCCTTTTATACAGACTTAATAAATTAAATTGTGAGCTTTAAAAAAAGTATTGTATATAAGTTTTGTAAGGTTTAAGGTGTGATGTGTGTCTTACAGGGAGAGACAAAGATCTTGAAGCTGAAGAATCTCCGTCGTCAGGATTTAGCGGACTACACTTGTATATCCTCTGTCAAAAATGTGTGTGGCATTGGAGAGAAGAGCACACACTTCAGACTGAGCAACAAAACAGGTACGCTAACCCACACAACCACACATATCAGATAATGTCTTCAGATGGAGTGATTGACTTTACACTTATCCCAGCACAAAAACACAAATAAGCAATAAAACATGTATTAATGTAATTCTGTTGGGTTTTTTTTATAGTTAGCATCCATCCATTGTGTGCTTTTGAATAAACACACTTCTTGAAAGTGTAATCATGAACCATCTTCTTAGAAATTTTAGAAAAAAAGAATATTGGCCTATAATTTGCAAGAATAGTGGGATCTATAGCAGGTTTTTTAATATGGGGCTGAGCAGCATGTTTAATTTACAGGAACAAGACCCAAGGATAAACTTCAAAATAAAACAGTCATTGATTAAATATATTAAAAGTGAAGAGTGCCTTCAGTTGGCATTCACACAACTGTTTTCAGCACAGACTGAGATCATGATAAGTCCAACATACTCCTGTGAATCCTCACACATTTGATTATACAAATTTATACAAAGATCATATTGAAAATTATATTTAATCATTTTATCATGATATTCTCAACATTTCACAAATTAAATAGATATTTCCCACAGAGCATTGATGGTTTTAGTTTGTTAATACTATGCCAAATTAAACTAACATAAAATTATATCTTATTTTCTTTCTTGCTCTTCTTTCCATTTTTTCCCATCAGCTCCTCCCTCTATTAAACTCCTTCTGGACAACCCTCTAGTGGTGAATCCTGGAGAGACAATCACTCTGGTTTGTGTGGTGTTGGAAGGAGATCCTCCCCCAAAACTGACATGGTTGAGGGAAGGTGGAAAGGAACTTCCAAAGAGGAGCATCGTCAACGGGGGCACGCTGACAGTCCCTATCGTTAACATGGACGATGGAGGCACTTATATCTGTGTAGCGTCCAACAACGTAGGGAACCCTGCTAAAAAAACATCCAGCATACTAGTCAGAGGTAAGACACTAACTCTTAAGTCTAAAGGTGTGAATATTAACCAAAAACTTCTGTAAGCCCTTAAAAAAAAGTGCTGATTTTCAATCCAGAATTGCAGTTTAATTCTTATCATAATGTGTGCGATTAGTGTCAAATTAATTAGCTCCAGAGTAATAGATTCATCAGTTCTTTACTGAATGAAAAAACGTCTGTCTTTACGCATAGATGTTCAATTTAATAGAAATGTATAGTAAGTAAGTAAATCATAAGAGATTAATGTGAGATTAATGTGAGTGCATATAGTTTAGACTATATAGAGACATATTATCTGCAGTGCATATTAACAAAAGATGGTTTAGTCCAGAATTGGTCAGTGTGAAGGAAAACATTTGTAACAGAAACATTTAACTGCTTACTGTGGATTTACATCCATATCATATTATCACATTAAAAACACAACATCCCTCTCTTACGATTCTGCAAGTGTTTCAACTCAGTAAACTAGAAATATATTGCTTTTACACATTAACATCTATAAAGAATTGCCCAAAGAGAGCAGAACAAAGCAAAAAAGAATTAGTTCAACAAAATAAAACATTAAAGAATAATTGATTGAACCGATTAAAATTGTTGAGGATTTGTTTTTTAAGCAAAAGTCCTAGTCATCTGAGGAAGTAAGAAATAATTATTTCATTAAATGGACAAAATAAACATCGTGAAGTGAGAGCAACCAAGCACAACGGCACATGGGATTCCAACTATGTACCAAACTGCTCTGATTATACAGGAATTTGCATTACGATTTATTGACCCCAGAATCTAGTTAGTAAGGCTGAATCTCTCTGGCTTTCTCTTGCCTCCAGATATGTGAATGACCTGAGAGTTTGACCCAACAGTCGCTGTTTGAAACTAGGCCACTTGGCCCCCTAAACACGAACATGCTTACAGCTCACTTTGTGAAACAGTGAGCAGAAAGCACTCCACCAGAACATGAGTAACGTAAATCATATTTGAACAATTGTATACGTAATGATCGGATTTTAAAAGTGAAGAATGCAGATAAAATACTTTCAGTTGTTGTACGCACAGCTAAATACAAATGTTTTCAGCCCGGATTTAAACATTGTCAGAGATAAGGGCCTGTCTCACTTCTTCAGGGAGACTAACCCAGATTATAAGAGCATAAATATTAAACACAGCCTCACATTGTAGACTGGTGTACTGCAGCATGGTTAATTTCAGGTTGTTTTTTTTTTAAACTATGGGGAAAACTATCCAGCATTTGATCATGCTAAATAATTAATCCGACTGTTTCAAACATAACTTTGCATACATTTTATTCAGTGCCTAGCAGTTTCGCATCTACACAAATTATATTATGTATAGGATGGAAGTGTCAAACCTATTTCTGAGGATTTCACCACTGTAAAAAAAAATGGTAATATAGATTCTCTGTTTATCTTCATCTTAGAAGTTACAAATAAATTGTACTACAAAAAAAATCACCAGGGCCAGAATATATCCCTAATGTCAACATTGGTCCATAAACCAATAGTTAGTGCTGATTAAGATGTCACTGAGGTCATCAGGTGAAAACCTCCTTTAATCAGTGTTTCATCTAGTTGTGTCAGACCATAACCGCAATCAATTATCCCAAATGCAAGCATTTGTCATAGGGTTTATTTATAGGGTAAAGCCTTAATACATAACATTACAAGACAACACAATGAAGCTTGAGGAACACTGGTTACAATTAGAGTCAGGGGCACAACATTTCCCAGGGGTATGCAGACACATTCCCGGCTCAGTGTGGAAATTTAAACTCAAGTGTATCATTCCCAAGTTTTTCATTTATCTGTTTTAATGAAATTTACACTGACTGTCTGAACAGCATAACCACCTTTTCCATTTGAGGTTTTGTCCCAGACCTTAGAAGTCCTAGCTAAGGTTTGGATAAAAAAATATACATGCGTGTTGGGTGATAGAGAGGGATATTTCATGTCTCTCTCCCTTCCGAGAACGATAGGAGGGTTCTTGGTTTAGCTACGGTAATCCAAGAACCACTGGGCACTGTAAACTCTGCTGCACGACGCCTGGCGCCTAGTGACAGAACTGCCAGATTTACGCTAGCAAGACCTGAACCAACATGGGCTCCTCATTGGTTTCAGGTCTTGCTAGCGTAAATCTGGCGGTTCTGTGTCACTCACGGTGGAGGATAACGAGACGTATTGTGAAATATGAGCAACGATTGACAGAGTTTCATCACTACACGCGAGCTCAGTCTTAACGTTCGGCCTCAGTGTCTTCCGGATGACAGAGATTAGCTGTGGTTTATTTCCGACTGTGCCCAGCTGCCACTGTTCCAACGCATATTTTGAATAAGAGCCTTGTTGTAGACGGAGGGGCCTCTCTTCTCCCTCCTTTTCCTTAGGGGGATGACCGTTACTATCCTTTACTCTGCATCCTAAAGGTCTGGATAGGAAGTGATCGCACTGCAGGAAGAAGCCCGCACAACCAGATCTATCTCTGTTGAGCACTACATTATCACCAACACCGATGTAGAAGGAATAATGTGATCCCTTCAAGCAGTTTTGGTATATTTATGTGTGACATATGAAGTTAACATCATTTTTTATAAGGCTAACATCTTGGAGGAACTTTCTTTACAAAAAAATAAAATGACGGAAGTCCTTTTTGGCTCACTCAATGAAGCCGAGTGTGACGAGCACTTTCTGTGTTGCTGACCAGCGCCTCATAGTGGCAAAAATAAAATAATATTTAACTGTAAGCAATGAAACGCAAAATGCGTTTACACAAGTACACAAATCAAAAGCTCTAAACACCCCCTCTGCTGGTTCATACAAATGTTGTGATAACTTGCTGACCACAAAATTTAGGTCAGGACACATACACGTTGTAAGATATACAAGACTGTTTACAGCCTCGTTATACATCTTTACATTTACATCTTATTAGCATCTTCTGTGTAGCATCATTTCCAATTACATGGAGTTTCTCTTGTTTTACAGTTCTGAAGTTCTCATTTTCAATGTCTTGTATAGATATGTTTTTTTAAAGAATTCTTTAAACATCCATTAGACTGAATGTAATTGATAGCAAGAAAATGCATAGATCTGACCAAGTTCTTTATCTTAAATCTGGCTGATACCTCCTTCATATTCTTAATTAATTTTTCATTGCTTGTTGCAAAACACGGTCAAGTCATCAACCATGACGATGAAGATAATTTTCTCATGTTCTTTCTCCTTGGTAATAAACTCAGTGGTCTGCTGGCTCTTGTGCAAATCATTTTCAGTTAGGTAACCATGTAACACCGTATTCTGGTTTTAACCACATTGTTTCAGCCCATACAGAACATTTTCTAGTTTACACACCAGATCTTTCCCTTTGTCATAACCTTCTGGATGATAAATTTAGATTTCGCTATCGATGGAAGCATACAAGTGAGCTATTTTCACATTTGTTTGATGGAGTAACAAAATCTCCTGTGCTGCTTTTTGTAGCAGTCCCTTCTTGATTGTTAAATTGGCTGTCGGGGAGGATATTTCAAACATAATCTTACCTTCCTTCTGGCTGCAGCCCTTAGCCTCGAATCTTGCTTTATACTTGTCATTATCTTTACTGTCACTTAACAGAAAAAATATCATAATTGTCATTTGGTTCTACCAAATCTGTGTGTTTTTCACTTTCCAAACTTGCCTTTGTCACAAATTTAGTGTCAAGTGTTTAGTGTGTTTCAGAACCTTCCCTGTTTTAGGATGATAAACCAAATAGGCAGGGATGTTCTTATCATAACCAACAAAAAATCGTTGCTCACATTTGGAATCTTGATTTGTTAATATAAAATAGGGACCCAAATTTGGGGTATTTTGATTCATTTGGCTTTTTAATCTGTCAGCATGTGGTAAAGGGCTTTCCCTGTTTGCTTACCAAAGCATCTGTTTTTTATTATTGTTGCCATTTTAAAAGCACAGTTCACAGGTATTTGACTTTAATTAGCATACACTTGCCCATCTCAGAAAGAGTACGCCAGCACCTCTCAGCAGTGCCATTTTCATGAGGAGAGTAATGGTCTGATGTCTCGTGTTTAATACAATTTTTACTTAAGAGGATTTGAAAATCTCTGCATTTGAACTCCATGCCATCATCAGACCTGATACACTTTATTTAAGGGGACAACATTTGCCATTAAGTGAATGTTGAACTAAGTACCGTCTTTGTGGGTTATGTCTTGTCCTTTTTTCAAACGTGACTGTTGCTCCTTTTACGGGTGGGTGAAGCCTCTCAGCACCGCTTTGTGTCAAGAATACCTCTGCATCCCTCTTTGTTTAGTGACGCATTTGCATAGAGTGCCATCTGCCAACTCCACGCAGTGTGTCTCCAGTTTAAAGGAGTCATGGAAACTCTTATGTGCTGGGGCCGGGCTCTCGCCACAGTGTGCATTGTATACATTGTCACTAGATTCGGCCCTGCTTAACTCTTCAAAACTACGTAGCTGTTAACGCGGTAGTCTCCACTCTGACTACATATTTTGTAATAGCCTCATCACTTAGCTTTTTAAGTTATCTCAGCGTGACGTACAAGTTGATGATGCGGTACTTCCCCTTTCCAATGTAGTCATCCCTCAATATTTTCAATGCCTTTCTTCCATTATCATCTCATAATAAGAGGCTTTGACCATCCAATGGTTGAGTCAGCTTAGCGTATGCATTAGCATTTTTCTTATCGTCTGCCACTACTTTGGTTGCACCATAAGGTTTTCTCAGAATGGTTTCCTTTAATCCAGTGTCCAAATGTCCAAGCACTTTAGTTTCCCAAAGCTTTTGTTTGCTAACAACCCACGTAATACATAAGTCGACATAACCTGCTGGTTTCCCGTTAATCAATGTAAAGGCATGCTTTCTGTCGCAACTTACTAACTGCAAAGAATCATCGGAAGTCGAGTTGCTACTACACCCATAATCTGCACTGCATAACCACTGCAGCATCCCCAACGCTGATCTCAACGGAGGACATGGTCGCATTATGTACACAAATCATAATCTCCATAAAAGATTTTAGGGTGTCTTACAGGGGAGCCATTGAGGAAGCAGAATGGTTGTGTTGATCAGGGTCATGGCCTCATTTATTGTGTTTGGTCTTGAATTGTGCTTTGATTGTGTTTTGGCGGCGCTGTTCTTTTTTCCAGGGTAGTTTGTTAATTTTTTTTTTTAGCTACTTTGTTATTTTGTCTTACTTAGTTTTAGTCTGGGCATGGTCTTTCAACAGTTATATTGTTTTACATTCTACATCTAACCTTCTCAGTCATCAGGTCTTTGTTGCTGTCACTTTGACAAACCCTTTTTTCTCTGTTATCTTTTTAATTTATTTTTTTGTTTGTTCTTTTTTTTTCTCAGGTTAAGTCCTTGTGGTGTTCTAGTTTGGTTGCTCTTTACGCTTCCATTACCTTCTACCTGCAGCTACTATCTGTGTTTGTTCAGATGGAAGATGAAGGCCGTAATTATTCTGTTGACTTTCTACATTAGAAAATGCAAAATACTTAATATGCCATAGTTTAATCTCATAATTAGATAAATCTTTATTTATTTTATCCCAAAATATGCATAATAATATTATGTTAAGTCTGTTAAATCAAAGTACTTCTAGATGCATTTCAAATGCAAACGGTATAGGCGTCAACCCAATTTCACAATTATTCACTCAAAATGGCTCAATTCTGCACTCTTCGACCTTTTGTAACTTCAATTAACTTTTTTCACTTTTACAAACAATGTTATTTGAATGTCATGGACAGAATTAGTTAAAGGTGTGATTGAAGAATGATAAATAAAACACCATTAAACTTTGAAAAAACTGACCCCTTGAATGTTGTATTTGTATTTATCATTTCTTTAGGTCTTCATAAAGGCCGGTTTTGGATCACACCAGATCCATATCACAATGAAGACAACATACAGATTGGCCGGGAGGTTAAGATAAGCTGCCAAGTGGAGGCCACGCCACCAGAGGAGCTTCAGTTTGGCTGGTTGAAAAATGGCCGGCCACTTAAAAGCTCTGATCGGATGGTCATCACCCACACAAGCACCCACATCTCTCCAGGAACTACAAATCTTGACATCATCGACCTCAAGTTCACTGATTTTGGCACTTACACCTGCATAGCATCACTGAGGAATGGAGGAATCCCAGAGATTAGTATTGACGTCAACATTTCTTCTACAACAGGTGAGTCCACATTCCACTACATAAATGTGTCAAATGACCACAATTGTGAATTGAAGGTTCCCACTTTTAGCATATTGCGATCAAGCACATTTCAAACAATGACTGTGAAATTGCACATAGATTACCATTTTAATGTAATTGGCAGACTCAGAACTTCCTTTGAGTGGTCCTATTAAAATGGCCTCTGTATGCAAAGTTGATGTATTTATATAAATTTGGATTTAAACCTAAAAAAGTGACTGTCAAACATCTGAATCAAATAAAGTAGGCTGTTTAGCAATGGGGCGGCATGGTGGTGTGGTGGTTAGCACAATTGCCTCACGGCAAGAGGATTCTGGGTTCAAGTTCCCAGGGGAACCAAGACCTTTCTGTGTGGAGTTTGCATGTTCTCCCTGTGTCTGCGTGGGTTCTCTCCGGGTTCTCCGGCTTCCTCCCACCGTCCGAAAACCTTCATGTTAGGTTGATGGGACATTCCAAATTGCCCTTAGGAGTGAGTGTGCATGGTTGTTCGTCCTTGCGTGTCTCTGTGTGGCCCTGCGATGGACTGGCGGACCGTCCAGGGTGTACCCTGCCTCTCGCTCGTTGAATACTGGGATGAGCTCCAGTCCCCCTGCTGCCCCATTTGAGAATAAGTGGTTTCTAAAAAGGGATAGATGGATGTTTAGAAATGTTATGTTTTCTTTTTGTTTATTTAGTTTAATTTTGAGAATCTATATGGACTGTAAAATAATAAATAAATAAAAGGTGTGCATGAATTTGCTCAGATGGCCAAGGTTCTCATCATACCCTCTAAAAAATATGTATAAAATTTGAGATGATTTATTTAAAAATGGACACATTAAATAAAAGATTTGGTTAAATTTGTTTTGGAATTTCAGATAGTAGACTATGAATATGTATTCTGAATCCATTTGAAGTGAACTTCAGTTCTACACAGGGGGTAGCACACTTCCAATCTTTAGCTGCATGACTTAGTTGTTGAGTTGTTTACCAAGAGTATTTAAGTGATTGTTGTTTTCTTTCTTGCTTTCTCTCATCTGCCAAAGACACATCATCTACACCTTTTATGTGAATATCTAGCATAGCACCAACAATGTCCCTCAAAAACTTACTGCAAAATTGTGGATAGTTTATTCATTCAATCTTTATGAGGTAAAGTATCTAATCAATCAGAGGTGAGTTGGGACAACACTACGCCTCCGGGCGTTGATTGGCCAGGGAATCACATGATTAGCGATTCCGTCATGTGTACCCCACCCATTTTGATGGGTGGGAAACATTCGGATCCAGGATGAGATGACAGGAGATCCAAGAACGCTCCTCAGAGCAATAACCCTCCCAATCAACCAGATACTGGAAGCCCCAACCTCGGGATCGGACATCCAAAATCCGGGAAACTGTGAAGACAGAGTGGTTATCATTGAGCCAGGGGGTTGGAGGGGGAACGGCCGGAGGGCTAAGGTCATTGGTGGAAACAGACTTTAGAAGGAAACGTGAAATGTAGGGTGGATCTTCATAGAGTCCTGGAGGATGAGATGGACAGCGGAGGGATTTATAATTTTGGAGATTGTGAAAGGCCCCACATACCAGGGTGCCAGCTTATGTGACTCAGTCTCAAGCAGCAGGTCCCATGAAGATAGCCACACCTTATACTATGGAGCAGGAGATCGATGCAGGTCCACCATCTGCTTGTTCCTTTCAGCGGAACGAGTGACTACTGCTCTTTCCAGACCTCCCAAATACTGCTGAGATGTTCTTTCACCCCCACCTCCTCCTCTTGAACATGGAATGGGTGTTGAATACTATAATATGCCACAGACGTGGACATACCTGTGGCGGAGCAGGTGAGGGAGTTATGGGCATATGCAACCCAGGGAAGAAACAAACTCCAGGAAACGAGGTGATGAGCGGCCATGCAGCGTAATGCTGCCTCCAAGTCTTGATTGGTCCTCTTTGTCTGGCCATTAGTTTGAGGGGTGATAGCCTGAGGAGAGACTGGCTGCTGCGCCCACCACCTTACAGAAGGCGGTCCACACCCGGGGAAGAAAACTGTGGTCCATGATCAGACACAATATCCACAGAAATATTGGAAGGGGAAAATAGTGTACAGACTTGGAAAATATGTCAACAATAGTAAGAATAATGGTATTACCTTCAGTTGGGGGTACCCGGTAAAACCACTGCTATGTGTGACCAAGGGCGACTGGGGATGGGTAAAGGGAGCAGCAGACCAGCAGGGGGACGGTGCGATGCTTTATTCCTGACACAGACTGAGCAGGCAGCCACAAAGGTGGCAGCACAATGTCCCGAGAGTCCACAGTACAGGCAGAGCTTGAGCTGCATCCCTCGCTGGCATTCACCAGGGGATAAGCTAGCTCGGCCACGCTGCATAGGTTCCCCTGAGGGAGTTCTCCTTAATGTATGTAATACATTTGCTCTGAACAAAATTGTGCTTAGGTTTCATCATGATGAATGTGAGTATTCCTCAAGAAAGGCAGATAGAATCACCAGCCAGGTTTGGTGTAAGTTCTGTCCTTCACTTTAATGTCAGCTGATCTGATGTGTCCATCAGACCTTGGGTGCACCTCTGTAGTCCCCTAATGTATTCATAAGGGATGGACTCAGGGTGTGAAATTTGCCAGTTCTAGATGTCTAACTTGGGGCAGAGTAGTTGTGTGTTGTGGAAATAATTGCATTTTAATGTCTTGAACTTTAAACTCATGTTATTCAGATGTAGAAATTATTTCTAAGGGTAGTGAGACTGGAGGGTTTGTTTATCTGCTCAATGTAACAAACAGGACACAAGTTGTTTCTTCTGTTTTTGATTATTTCAGAAAGTTAATTCTCTTTTGTTCCACAAAAACTCTGATTAAACACCCACAATTAATTAGTTTTTATGTCTCAAAATCTCCATTCAGCTCGCCCTTTCCTGTGCCGTGAGTCTTTATTTCTCCAGTGTGCCTCTTTTCAGCTTTGAACCATTCTACCCTTGACAGGAGCAATGGAATTTTTTAAATTTGAGACACTTAGAGTTCAACAGATCATCAACATTTTCAAACCTAATCAACTCCAAAACTGTGTCCCTGAATTCTTGTAGACCCAACTAGTGGTTTGGGCGTAACAGACGGGTCAAAGAAAACACAAAAACACAAAAGACAAAGCAACATTGATGACACTCACATAGGGCTGGGCCATATCATGTCATTATAAAACCAGTAAAAACAAATTGCCCTGAAAAAGAAATTCTATCATGATTTGCTCATTTCATGGTGTTTTTCAATCTAAATAAGAAAAGGAGAATTTTTACTTTTTAATTTTACACAGAGACTGTATACATAATACATACTGAATACATAAAGTCATGTTTGTAGAATGAACCTATGTTGTTTTTTATTTGTTATATAATACTCCAAAACTACCTTTAAAGCGAATTTAGTCAAAATGATTGAATATGATTATTTGTTTAAATATCATGAAATATCAAGATATTATGTTTGAGCCATATCGCCCACCCCTACATCCACATTTGAAACGCCAGCATCCTTTTAAATGAGCACATCTAGTGTTTCGTTTAATGTGTGTGAGCTCATTCACATGCTGAGTTCGAAAAAGACTCAGAGAGGCATCCAATGTAGAAACTCAGTTTATTACAGGATATGGAAGTACACACAAAAGTCCAAAATCCTAAAAGGGGTAATCCAAACACAAGGCGTAGGTCGAAACACCAGACGTCCAGAGCCGGGGTTGTGATGCTGGCATGCTGACAAAAGGCGAGACTGTGAGAGAAAAAGGTTATTCTGGGTAGCGGAAAATCAGAATGACCCGAATGTGTTGGTTAATCTAACGTCTCAGGGGACCTTTTGTACCAAAGGGTTTTTGGCAAAAACAGCCTGTTATTGAAGCGTGGTTGGGAATAACAAGAAATATCTGCAATAGTTGGACGGCAGCATGAGAAAGAATACACACACCAAAGTTCTGGATAGACATCTATTAGTCTGCATGGTTTAGAAATGGAGTGTGTCCAAATGCACACAAGTGAAGAGGGATGCTATTTAAGCCTTGTACGATCTGAAAGAGGGTGAGAGACGTTATCACGATTCTTTTGAAGGTTTAACACAAAAGTATAATTCGAAAATTAAAAAAAACAATCAGTCATTTACATGAATTATGTGATAGCATAAAATTCCCAAGTGTGTAAATATAGCCCAAAATCTAACATACACTATGAGAGAACTACTTTTTTTTGTATTTGTTGTATAGTGTTGTCAGTAAACTGTCCAGGCTGCCAAAGTGAGCACTTGTCACGCAGCGGTCATTTCTGTTGGGTTTACTTTGTCTTGTCATCTTGTATTGTCAGTTCCTGTTTTCTTTTGAAATGCTAACTCTCCTCTTGTTCCAGGTCACTTACCCTTCCTCATGTTCCACCAGTCTTGAACTCCCTAGATTGCTGATTGGGTCCACTATTTTCCCTTGTGTTGTATATATAGTCCGCGTCACCCTTTGTCTGTGTTTGTTACCTCTGCATTATAGCATATTCCCTGGATATTTGTATGTTGCCTGATAGCGGCTGCTAATGGTTGTATAAAAATGCCAAATAGCAATGGGGAAAGTCGGACTCTGCAACCTTTCTTAAAGCTTATGGGGGTTTTTTCTATACTTTTCAAAACATTATCATATATCTGGCCAATTAAGAACTACCTGATTTGTACATGTAATGTATAAAATAATATGAAATAATTTAGAAAAATTTATGAATGAATTGTGTTATATTATGTTAACTACATTAAGCCAAACTCAGCAACTAAAAAACACTTCTTTGAATTTGCAAAATCTGTAATCCTAAAACCACCATCCTCCATCTTTTCATGTAGTTCCTCCTGAGCTCACCGTCCCCAAGGGGCAGTCTCGACTCATCACACAGGAGGGCGACACCATAGACCTGCAGTGTCTGGTCTCTGGAAAGCCGAAACCAATCATTCTGTGGTCTCGAGTGGAGGAGAGCGGGGCGGCTGCGGCCTCAACGGCCCTGATGCCTGATGGGTCCCCTCAGGTGGAGAGCTACGACGGCATACTGAGAATCAGCAATTTGACGAGAGAGATGAGCGGGACGTATCGCTGCCAGACGAGCCAGTACAATGGTTTTAACGTCAAACCCAGAGAGGCCCTAATCCAGCTGGTAGTGCAGTGTGAGTATCCTAAAAAGTAAACATGACCACATTAGCATACACATGCATCATGCATAGATACAAAAAGATGGCACTTGGTGATGCCCTCGGAAGAAATTGAAGAACTGTATGTACTGATTTTGAGACATTTTCTGAGACTATTTCAACAGTTAGTTACTCTTTTAACCCTGTAAAGCCTGATCCAAGGAAATAGGAAGAATATTGGATTTTTTTAGTCTGAAGTCTTTCTTTGGCCCCTCAACAACATATGAAGAAAGAAAAACAGAAATGATTTTGATCAAATTAGCATGCAATAAGTCAAAAATATATTTCCGTGTAGTCTTCTACTGGCTGTTATCAGGTATATCTGAATGTGTACAACAGGGATTTGAGCAAAGCTTTTACCACTGAATGATGCAAAAAGTCTCAGATCCAAAAGACTTCAGAAATCGTATGAATCAAATATGACACATTTGGCATTATAGGGTTAAAGTTGACTACTGTCAACTACTGTCTAGAACTGTCATGTGTGTTAAGCAAACATATATCCAGATGTCTTCGTTAGGAGCATGACTAACGATTGAGAGTATACAGTTATTATCTAATCTAAATAATAAGATGCCTGTTATGGGTTGGCAAATGTACCTCTCTGTGGCTTTACAGACCTTATCAGTAATCATAGGATGAGGTCCAGAAAAAAGAATTACAAATTACGCCAGATAAAACTGAACTTTCAATAAAGGCTATTCCTTTTTAAAGGTTATTATAAACATTAATAATGACGGTGATAGTAATAAAAGTGATAATGATCATTTTTATAGTATAAAGTAGTGTCATGATTCACCTCTCTGCGGTTACTAATCAGCCTGTTTAGTGTTCACATGATGATTTTATTCAACTGTAATTTTTCTTTTATCCTGCTAGCAGTTTTAAGGTTTTTTCTATCTGTGTTACAGACCCCCCAACAGTAGAACCAGTGTTCACGGAGATTCATCAGGGTCTGAGCCGCGCTTTCAGCATTACCTGCCGCCTGCTCCAAGCCCACCCAGGTCGCCTCCTGCAGTACGAGTGGAAGCTGGGCTCTCGCCTCCTCACTGTCGGACAGTTCAGCCATCAAAAGCATGAAACCAGCTATCACGTCAAAGCTCTGAACAGAGAGGGCTATGGAGAGTACACCTGTGACATCACCAATGAAGCGGGCGCCGGACGCTGTACCTTCCTGGTGACAGGTGAGAAGTCTTGCACTGCATTTTCAGACATTGTAGTTCTCTTTTTTCATTTATTTCTGTAGTCATTTTTATTAATTGGTTTATCAAAGGTTTGGGCATGTTGAAAAGTTTCAATGAGAGGTAGTCTTTCTATGAGGAGATAAAAGGCTCAAAATAACTACTCAGGAGTCATTGCTCAAGACTCAAATTGCTTGAATCTCCTAATTAGAAAGATCAGAGAGGTCTGCATTTAGTAACCCACAAGATTTCTAGCTTCCACAGATCTGTAACTTCATCTTTTAGAACCTCTTCTGTCCTCTACTCGTTACCTGTATCACAGTCTTTCTCAATTGATAAGACACATTTCTTGAAAGTTGCTCTCCTCTCTGAACAGTGAACACAAAAACTCAGACTCCTCTTGCAAAACCAAACTTACCCCTCAAAATAGTGCAATCTTTGGTCAAACTGAACTATGTTGTAAATTGTGTCCCAAGTCAATCACAATGAAAATAAATACTGAGCAGTCACTAAACACCACACAGAAAAGAGAGACAATGCTCAGGACATGAAGCTTTAGAAATGAATATTTATTGTTTACTGTTGGATTAATGCATGTTGCAGATAAAAGAACTTGTGCATTTAGCACTTCCACATCGTTAAAAAAAAACAGGTAAAAGGAACAGAAATCCTCTGCATTCAGGACTTGTATAAAGTAAGCCTCTCATATTTCTATGAGAAATATGTTCCCTCACATCATTAGCCACAAGTGTGATCAATTTTGAGTAGTTTTCAACCAGTAACACGTGTGCTTTTCCTGTACTTGACTTTTGCCAGCTGTGCTCACCATTATGCAACACAGGTGCATCACACTGAAAATGTGTTGGCAAGTTGTGTCTAAACAGGTGAAAAGTCAAGAGTGACCGATTCAATCAGTGGCTGCAGGAAATGGAGTATTTTGTTCAGACGATAGGGTTTAGCGTTTTATTCGGTATTTACGTCTGTTTGACTTGTCGTCTGTATAAAAGACACCTGTCCACAGCCTAAAACAGTCAGACTTCAAACTCAACCATGGCCAAGACCAAAGAGCTTTCTAAGGACACCAGGCTTGGAAGAGTGAATCTTCAATAAACAAGCAGGTTGGTGTGAATTAATCAACTGTGAGAGCAACTGTAAGGAAATGGAAGACAAACAAGACCATTGATAGTCCCAATCGATCTGGTAAGATCTCAGCCCATTGGGTCAAAATTATCATGACAACAATTAACAAAAATCCCAGAAATACACGGAGGGACCTGACGAATGACCTGCAGAGCCCCAAAAGATCACTGCTCTAGAGGAGATCTGCATAAAGAAACGGGACAAGTTTTAATGTGTCAAATCACTCACATATACACAAGGGTATTCTGGCAAAAGTTTCAGAGGAACATATTACCAAGAGTAATAAGCCTATGAAAACTTATTCGTGATCACTGAAAGTCGTTAAAGTCATGAAGACAGAAAGTGAATGAGTGGGTGTGTGGGTAAATTTGTGCATGTGTGTGTGTGTGTACAGGCCATTACCTGGATTGTGTTTACTAATGTGGGTAGGGGCCCCAAACTGCCCCTCATAAGAGGATTCCCAGAATCAGGCAAACAGTAGCAACCATGGAGAATGAGAAGAGAGAGACCACGAATTGCAGGAGAGCTACCACTTCAGCCCGGCAGGGATCAGGTAAAGGACCCGGGTAGAGCCTGGGTGGCTGAAGTGGAAATCAGGAAGGAAACACACAGCAACAGGCCAAATCCCCCCCCCCCCCCCCCACAGGGCGCCCACCGCCTTCATGGTCCGGGCACAGGACCACACCGCAATAGGCCAAGGGGCCAGCCTGGACAACCCCAAAAAAGCAGGCACCCACCCCATACCCAAGGTGGAGCATCCCGGGGCAAGCAGCCACCACGTGCAACCCTGGAAAAAAGAGGCCCCAAAAACCAGGCTCCACAGAGGACAATAATGCTCTCAACACAAATACGCGCACTCGTACTCATACAAAGACACGGTCACCCCATCTGGTTCCACTCCGTATGACCTACGACCCCTTATGTCTTACAGGTAAAGCCTATCCTCCAGAGTTTTACTATGACACTTACAACAATCTATGGCAGAACAGACCTCAGGTCTACAGCTTCAAGCTGCAGTGGACTCAGATGGAGCCAAATGCCGTAGATCGAATCCTGGCCTACAGACTCGGTATCAGGCAGGTGGGTACATCAGACGTAACGCTCCAAGATCACGTAGAATGTGCGTTCCTCATCGTTTTTTGGGTGCATGTACCTTCCATAAGTTACGATTGGCTTTTCACAAAAACGCCCACTTGTGAGATTAATCATAACACTAATTTTGACACTATAATATAACTAGTTTGTAAATCTGAATGAGATATAATTCATGGCTGTTTAAATATGATAGCGTGATATCTCCAAATATAAAGGATACTTATTGATGCTTTAATATTGCAGTTATTCTGTAATATTACTCTGTTATTGAGCATTTAGTGTTACTATGGCTGAGAGTTTACAGATTTGGGGAACTTAAATATACCGTGCACATTGTTTGTTGTTAGCATCCCAGAGTGTTTTCCTGGTTGAAATTGTAAATGCCCTGGGATGATGAAACTTATCAGAGGTGATAGACAACGTAAAAAAAGCAATCGCCACAGCTCACAGTCTGTAGTGATCTCTTTTGGAAATTCTGATTGGAATCAACACATTGATACCGTCTGCGATAGAAAATGGCACCTTGCCATGGTACCATGATATATAAATGAAAGAATACATGGCATAGAAATCAATAAATTAGATGAACTCCAGAGAAACGTGAAGTGTGTGACCAGCAGGTGTTTGTTTCTACGTTAATTATGACTGGTTGTGAGAGAACAACGTTGCACATAAAATACTGAGCTTCTTTCAGCGTCTGTTGGCCTGTTTCGTCTCCCCAGGGAATTTCCCCAAATATTTGCGTGCCTTGTTTACATTCACCCCAAGGCAAATGTTAAGATGGCAACCCAAGCTCTGGCCAAGTCAGTACAACGGCTGCAGGGGATTGTGCCGGATGCATGGCTGCCTTTCCTTTGCTCGTGTTTCTATTATTACTTTGGTTGGATTTTGTCCTGGTTCTATTCCGTTAGCTTTACTGAAATTGCCATGTTTCATGCAGAGCAGTTTTCAATATATGTATTTTGTGTAAACGCATAAAGCTCAGTGCATTTATTGAGACTACTGTAGATTCCTCCTACAGCATTATGACACGTCATGGTTACTGTTTTATGGATACTACTGTGTGTACTGTGTGGTTTATCCACATTTATTGAATTATGTTTATGATCTACATCGATTTCCATAACATTTTGCTTCTCTTCTCCACGTTTGGTATAGACAATTATTTTTATGATCTCTATTTAAGAGAGCATCTTCAATTCCACTAATTATTTACTTAACCTTTCAAGGCCGCTAAAAGGTGTACGATCACTTTTTTGTGTGTCTTAGATGGGTCAGTCCCGCTGGTGGGAGCAGGAAATTCCCATAGAAGGAACGATCCAAAAGGGTGAGCTGTTGACCTACAACCTGACAGAATTGATCAAACCTGAGTCCTACCTGGTTCGCCTTACCCCAATCACCCGCTATGGGGAGGGAGATGCCACTGAACGTATCATCACATACAGCGGTACGTTGTTTTTCTTGAAAATCCCCAAGTAAAGGTGTGATTGAAACCTTACCTGAACAGTTATGGTTGAAGTTGTTTAATTTAGCACAATTACTTTACGCTGTAGAACATTTTACAGGGACACAAATCTCTTTTTTAATTTATATCCCAACTTCCTTCATCACTTTAGAATTGATGTCTTTTGTATTACAAGCTGATAGAATATAGAAGTTACAGCCAATTTTTAAAAAGAAAAACTTGCCTCATATGTGAAGATCAGCTGGAAAAATCTAAATACACAACTCACATACCTAAAAAATATGGGTTGCATAATATTTAAATGAGCGATGCATTAAAAACAGATTTTAAAAACAGAAATCCCTGTATGATCTCAGGAACACAGCTGATTGTGCCATCCACAAATTGAAATTAAAGATGAGCAAAGATGACATAAAATCTGAATGTGATCCACAATGGCTAGTTTACGCTGGATCATATCCATAATTGTTTTTCTTTTTCTTTTTTGCTTAACCTGCTAAATTTGCTTGACCTACCTGCAAAATGATTTACCAAACTGTTGTAATATTTTTTTACCCAACGTCACCCAAAAATTAATTAAGATTTTACAATAAATAAAAAGAAAAAACAGTTCTATAATTATTTGGATCACATGTCCCTTGGAGTTGTCTCATTTCACTTCTACTGGTCATAAACTGGATGAATATGCCTGCTTTTCTTTATGTTTTGAATGTTCAAGTGTCGCTTAAATGATCTTTTCTATAAGTTAATAATTCACATTCCAAACTGAATTGCAACCACATTGTATTTTATTCTGATGTAGTCATGTCACATTTGACTTTTTCTTCAACTGAAGCTTAAAGTTTTGCTTGTGCAAGATTTGCTGGTGCAGTGGGTCTCATCCTGGTCTCGTCTTATGTTCTCCACAGCTCCTGTTAACCCACATCTCAGTAAGTATCTCACCATACTAGTTTTCTTTTCAAATTTTTAAATAACAAAGGGATTTCTGTATTGATAATCAGGTGAAGGAAAGACTATTGGCTGTCTACTTTAAAGCAACACATGTTTAAAACACTGGCCTGGAAATGAAATAATTTTTTTTAGTGCTGATAAGCTATTTGCGCAGTCTGTTATAGTTTTGTAGAAAGACAGGTCTGTTTTTTATGCTGTGTTTTAAAGGCATTTCTGTATTAGTAGTAAGTATTTGTAACAGGGGAAATAATAAGGCAGCTGACCATTCCATTCAGTACAGCTGAGGAAAACAATGAGAGTCCGTTAGTAATAAGAGTTTGTAATAGCTTGTAATCGTTAGTAATAAGTGTTCTAACAAAGAGGACATTCAGCAGATCTGAATTCATGTATCAAAAAATGTTTCTACTTTCATTAAGGGGCCAAAATCAAGTTATTACATTTCTATTACAGAAATAATAGTTCTGTATACAAATGCAAGTTAAAAATATATTACCCTACATTTTGTGAGTGTCACCAAATGAAATGTCATATGAGTGTATTCTCATTTTGTAAATGTAATCTTCTATGATTAAATCTGAAAACTTTATTATGGATGAAATTCCTGGGTGGCAATTTGGAGCTGAAATGATATAATGTGTATATAGATTTGTTTAATTTTTTTTCATTGAGTATATATATATATGTATATATATATATGTGTGTGTGTGTGTGTGTGTGTTCAGGAGAGTTCCAGTGTGGTTTTGAGGACGAGGCGCTTTGTTTGTTCTCTCAGGACAAAGCAGATGAGTTTGACTGGACACGCTGCAGTGCTGCCACACGGAACACCAAACACACGTCAAACACTGGACCGAGCTCTGACCACACTGGCTCCAAAGAAGGTATACACACCTACAAAGACCTACTAAAAGAAAAAAACATTAAGATATTTAAAAAATAATAATCAAATTAGTATAAAATAATAACATTTAGAAAACATGTCAAATTTAATTAAGAAATGATTACAGGTCCTTTATTTTCTTAGTTCAATATCAACAAAATGATACAAAGAGCTGGAAACATAATTTTGATGATGACCACCAACTGAAATAGCTGCAACTGTGTATTAATCCACCTTTTGCAATTGTTATATTCTTATTTTTGTTTATTTTTTATCAACTCTGTATGTAAACACTGTGAGTACAAGTTTTTAAAATTATAGGAAAAATAGCTATATCTGTTTCTTGACCATTTCTACTGAAATCGGAATGCAAATAAACTGTGAGGTCCCATCAGCTGCCACATTTTCCGATCTGGGTCTCCCCAGGGTAAAGTCTGCGGTAGAAATTGCGCTGAATAACAAGTTTTTATGACATCGGCCGTTACTTTCAGACATATCTGTTCTGCCTCAACATTTGTTGTTCCCCATTGCAGATTCAGAAGCTTTAATGAGGTCCACCACTTGCCATTTTTGTCAAGAAATGTTAAAGTTGTGTCCTTTAGCTGAAAATAGTTTCTGGTCGGTCGAGGTCCCTGTGTAATTCTGGTTCTTCACCCAGTGGTGCCACATGTCCATATCTGTAATATCGTCATGTTTTTGTTTAAAAAAACCCAATGTGTTCTGAGAAACGTTGGTGATAGAGTTTTTTGTACAGTGGAAAGGGGAGCTTAAGGCCTGGATTGATAGATGGCTGGACAGGGAAGCAAAATGAGACTTTATTAGAAGTTATTGTTCTGACTAAGAAAATGGATGATGCTTGCAATGCCAAACTCTGATGGGGAGGACTGTTGTCTGTTCCTAATATTAATGTACTGGTTGCACCTTACAAGCGATGTTCTCTTTATTAAATTATTCTATGGCAATTCAGACGTGCTAAGGAGAAATATCTCAGTACCACATTGCTGTATGTAACATGTACAAACACAATATCATTATATTCATCATTATATCATTATAAATAATTTATTTTGTGTATTTTTTGTTTTCCTTTTAATGACCTAGCAACATAACTCCATGTTAGGCTAAATCTCAAGGAAATTATTTATAGTTTTTATTAAAAGTAAATAATCAAGCAGATTATACTATTTATTTATTTATTTATTTATTTATTTATTTATTTATTTATTTATTTATTTATTTA